CACTAGTTCCCCCATTTGAACTAAGAACTGTAGCCAGCTGAATGACTTGTGTTTTGCTGAAACGTGGGCAGGTAGGCATAGCTCCACATCTGTGTCCCTTTTTCTTCTTACTGCTAAAACCTCCATGTGTCCTAAAACTCACCTCCTGGAAGCACACCCTCACCGCCCTCTACCACTATCTTTCTTTCCTCGGTTCTCCCTCAACGCTCACCCTGGTACTCTGTGTGCTATTCTCTGCCAGCATTCAGAATTCTCAGCAGTACTCAGGGAACTGCTCTGGAACTATAGATTGGGAGCTGTCTCAGCACAGGTGGGGTGGTATTTATTCCACCACATTGAGCACTCATTAGGCATCAGCTGAGGGAATAAATGAGCATATGATGCCCACTTGAGACCAGCACTATCCAATCAAAGTATAATGTGAGCCACTGTGCACAATTTTCAATTGTCTAATAGCCATGTTAAAAATAGTAAAAAGGAACAAGTGAAATTCATCTTCATTGTATCTATAACCCAATCTATCAAAAATATTATCAGTTCAATATGTAATCCTCACAAATAAGTATTGATAATTAAATTTTACATTATTTTTTCATGAAGTCTTTAGAATGCCATCATGTATTTTATTTTTTTCTTATTTGTACATTTTTTGCTGTTCATAGAGTTTACAATCCTCTTGGGGAATGGTTGGTTACATATACATAATTACAGAATGTTTCTTTTTTTTTTTTAAATCGTCTTCCCCTTCCCTCCTCCTCTAGTTCCCCTATCACATTTTTCATTCTTGTTGATATTATTTGTCTTACCTCATGTTATGGCCTATAATGTTCAGATTAACTGTGGTTACTAGGTTCCTATATATGGCATATTTTTATTCTTCTTATTTCCCCTTCGCCTCCTCCTCATCCCTCATCCTTCTTCCCTTGGACCACTTCCCTATTGCAAGAGATCCATGCCGTTGTCCCTTTCTATCCATCTTTTATCATTTTCTTTATTTGTACTTTGCCTCACTCAAATGAGAGCTACTATATGATATTTAAGCTTGTGTGTCTGGTTTATTTCACTCAAGATTATATTTCCCAGGAGCATCCATTTTCCTATAGATGTGTCAAATTTGTCATTCTTTATAGCCAAGTGGTATTCCATTGTATATAGATACCATGTTTTCTTTATCTAATCATCTATTTTCCATTATGTGTTTTAAACTGAAGAGTTATATGGCACATCTCCAGTGCTCAGTAGTCACATGTGGGTAGTGGTACCATACTGGGCAGTGTGTTCTAGACTAGAGAGGATGTGAGAACTTTTTCCTATGAAGGAGGCAAGAGTCTAGATCATGGTTCATACATAGTCATTACATGGCACTTTAATGATATTTTATCAAGACTGTGTAAGCCTTGGTCTCCTTTTTGGACTGCACAGAAAGGTCAGTGCTGGTTTGACCATGAGCATCCTGTGTGTGAGCTGTGAATGGGCAACAGAAAGCAACAGGACTGTCAACAGCTAACAAGTCAACTGCTCAGCCAGGCCTTTGGAGCAGAGATCCACAAATAAGCTACCTCTCTAGGGAAGATTAAAGGCAGTAAGTAGGAAGGCTACATTCTTAGGTGTGCAAAGCCACACCTTCCAATACCATCATCACTGAAGTTTTACTCACCCACAGAAAAAGCCACAGAAATGTAAATATGTTCATGTGTAGATGCCTTGGTAGGGGCGAGCTCCAGGTATCCACACCCTCTAAGGGCATCATTCCATTTGAGGGAGGAGATAAAAAAGAACTTTCTTAAGCAGGAAATTTAGAACCATTCCAAGATGTGAGCTGTTTGTCTTGCTCAGACTTGTCTGCTGGCTCCATCTAACTCAGACAGCAATGAGTGTTTGCTGGGCCCAACCTCTGCTCTGCTGGGGTCAGAACTAAAAAAAGAAAGTGATTCTCCATCTCCCAGTCCCAAACTTGGGTGACCTCAATCGAGAAGCCTGGTGCCAACTGGCACTGAGCAGAGGGTGGAACTGAGAGTTAACTTGGCGCTCCCAGCCTGGCACCCTCTTGGTGGGCAGTAACCCAAAGCAGGCTGTCATGCTTCTCATTCCCTAGAACAACAGGCACCATTTTCAATGAAAACAAGTCAGGTACACAAATTAGCATCAGAACCAAAATGGTGTCCTGGGAAACTAATTTCAAAAATTTCAGTTTTAAAACATTTTCTTTGCAACCTAGAGAGTGAAGCCATGCCTTTCACAAGGACAAAAGCCCTGTGCCAAAGAACTTCATCTGATATAAAGAAGTGTCACTGACCAAAGACTGTGGGAGAGATGGCTTTCAGGACATGTTTAATGTATTTTCCCATACCTTCTTCCCATATAATTCTTGCTCATTCACTCATGCCTAGCATTTTTTATAGAAGTGAAACAATTCTCCTTTAGTTTCTTTTCATAGCAGTCTTTCTTCCTGCAAGAAGTTGGACTTCATTGCATTTAGAATGCAAGCAGCTAAAGGACAGTCTGAAATTTTTGCCATTATTAGGTAGAGAAGATCCAGAACAGCACACCTCCACCCATCAAAACTTACTCCTTGGAAATTATATGAAAAAAAAAAACAACTTTGCAGCCCAATGATAATAAGATGAGTTTTTAGAAGGGTTCATAGTTTTAAAAAATGCGTCCATATATATTTCCTCAATTCAACTTCTCAGTAATCAGAGTAGAAACAGTAGGTCCAGTCTTTAAGTGATGTTTCTCCTAGAAGTGTTCATTTAATTGACAAACTTATACTAACAGCCTTCTGTGTTCTGGGCCTGAGAAATGCACCAGAGAACAGGGCGCCAAGACATAATTCCTCTTAGGAGGAGCTGAGTCCTATGAAAATAGAAAACAATGAAATTCATATAAACCCCTCTGACAGTGTATTCATCATGTTCTGGGAACACAGAAGAGCAGCCTTCAATGCAGTATTTAAATATTGAATAGTCCCTTAACCTGAAAAAATTAAACTCCTTAATGATGGAATTTCAGGTGTCTCAATAAGCTAGTAAGAGAGCTATAGGCAGGAAGTCCTCCCCAAGGATCTCTAATCACACAGCACTGACAGGACTTTGCCTGGGAGGTGTAACTATGGTATGTATACAGTATTTATGAACTGTTTGTAGAGTTACACAGTGCAAAACTGGAGTATGTGTAGTAGTTGTAACTTTATGTACAGCATTTATAAACTAAGAGTCCTGGCTTCTTTCCTTATATACTAGGAAACATACATTCTCCACATGAGTTTTAGCCTACAATGTAGAACAAGTACTTCTGAATATCAGTTAATATATTTTATAATTCTCTTTTCTTGGTACTTTGTTCAGAATTTAAGCATAGTCTTTCCTTTCTTTTTCTCTTGTTTTCTAAATGCAAAAATAGAATGTGTACCTATTGTAAACAATTCATTGTTATACAAATATACAATTTTAAATCTGTACAGTTATCACCTCCCAAAACACTGTTAGCAGTACAGGGTATATCCTTTCAGGGCTTTAAAAATGTATGTGTTTATATATTATCCATAGTGTCTTACAACTTCCTTAGAATAGCTCCTTCAGATAGACTATCTTTCTGTGTTCATAAAGACATAGCATCTTTAGAATCCTTGCTCAATTGTTTCTATAATTTTTTAGTCTTATGAATAATGTTAAGATTAATATCCTTCTACCTACTCATTGGTACATTGGTTTGAGTATTTCTAGAAAATGAATTTCTAGAAGTTGAATTGTTAACAGAATCAATGGGGCAAAGCTTTAACACTTAAAATAAGTTAAAAGTACTTTTGGTGGGGCTGGAGATTTAGCTCAGTGGTTCTGCCGCCTGCCTCACAAGCACAAGGACCCAAGTTCGATCCCCGGTACCAAAAAAAAAGTACTTTTGGTGAAAATAAATGGAGAGGAAAGAGATTTACTGAGCAGCTATGATTTACCAGTCATAGTGCTAGACATTTGCATTATCTCATTACTCCTGGAAATTCTGAAAATTTTGACATCATTCCCATTTTAGAGATGAAGAAATTGAGGCACAAAAATAAGGCTTTCCAAGGTTACACAGGTAGCAAATGGCAAAGCCAAAATTGGAAGGTAGGATTATCTGGTTGTTTCTACCATACTGTATGCCTGTCAATATATAATATAATGCTACTGGTTTCCTGGTTTTCCAACTGTCTATAAAGAAAACTTCAGAAGTTTTTGTTTTGATTCATTTTCAAAATGCTCAAATAAATTTATATCATCTTGAACTTACATATCGAAGACATTCACATGAACTATATAAATTATACTGCTTATTATAAAATGTCTCATTAAATACTTCATCCCTTTGTTCATACTGAATAACAATGCTGTATATAAAAGTACTACACCCCAAAACATACATTTCTTTATTCTGAAATTCTGCTCTGGGTTTATATAATTCTATTAAAATGTATAGTAAAGAAGCAGTTCGTTATGAAGCCAATTTGTCTACATGCTACTCTGTATTTGGATAGAGCTAACCTGTTATCTAAGTCTTTTTTTGTTTTTTTGCTTAAATTCTTTTATTGGTACATTTTAGGTATACAATATGTTTACATTTATCATTGGGTGCTTGTCCCTGTTCATGATGCATCTTGGTTCTTATTTTTCCCCATTACTTGTGTGCCCTTCATCCCCTCCAGCCTTCCATATTTACATAGACTTCATTTCCATTTTTTTCTTTTCTCACGATTTTTCCTTTCCCTTCTTTCCTTTCCCCTCCCCCTCCCACCTCCCCTACCCCTCTGGAACTTTTCTTCCTATTTCAATGCATATTGAGGCCATACTCTTAAGTGAAATAAACAGGACACACATATAAATACCAAATAGTTTCTCTAGTGTGAGAAAATGAAAGTGTAAATAAGGATTAAAATGATTAAAACAAGTAAGTCTTCTTTGCTTATTATTTGCTTAATAATTAATTATTTCTTTCCATTTCGCCTCCTTTTGAAAATCCACTAGTTCTTTAGTAATTTTCAGGGTTACTCACTGAGGGCAGACTCCTCTGGAAACAAAATACCTATACATTTACCATGAGATGAGATGGGAAGAAAAGAAGAGAAAAAAGACAAGACAAAATCAGGAAGCCATAAGAACAATGTTCAAATACTTCTACTTCTCAGGATGGTTGTATCTTAATTTTTGCATCTTACATGATCAACTCACAAGGTAATATATACTAATGTTTTTCAATGAAATGTTTGATCATAATATGCTTATCAACATGGTGTTTCTCTTTTGTTTTAGGGTGTTCCCTGGAATCTTATGTGTTCTCATAGCACTTTTTCCATGTCTCCAGAACATCTCTTATCACAGTTTTTCTTCCATCTTCCTCATTGGACTAAGAGTTTCTAGACAACATACAGCATGTCCCTGATATCACTGGATCCCTGCTTCACTCATTTTATATTTTGCTTGAAGGAATAGCCTTTAGAGCATTTCTTCCTCTTAACCTCCTACCCAATGCAAATTCACTTAAAAAACCAGATTCGGGAAGTAGCCTAACTTAGGGATAAATGTATATGTACAACATGATAGGGAATTAGAGGACAATGAACTACTGTAAGGCCTGAGCAGACATTTGTTCCCTGAGTTCCTTTTCCCCCATTGTGCATTAACCTCACATGCTTCCTCCCTCTACTACTTAGTACATAGTAATTAACCCTTTCTCAGTCTCTTTCTTCAAACTCGCATGCCTACAACTATCAGAGCATACAGTAGACACAAGAGTTTAGAAGTAGCAGATGAACAGCAGAATTTGCAGTTATGAGACTTTCCAAATAGCTTTCAGCAATCTAGTATAAGACAAGCATCCCTCTTCCAGACATGCCATTTTTAAAGTCACCCTCTAAGAGTGACTCCAGTCCAAGGAGGGAACCTGTCATTCTTGCTAGTGACTTCCATCTCATGTGTCAAGTAAGGTCCTTCCTGCCTGGTCCTTGGGCAGAGCTCACCTCCATTGTTTCTTGGTGCTTCGTGGCCCCAAGTCCTGGGGAAGACAGCTTCCTCACCCAAGGCCCTAGTTCACCATTCCAGGCAAGGCAGACTTGTCTCACCTTAGAGCTGGTGTCCCCCTTTCTGGCCTCCAGGAAATCTTCTTTCTTATTAACTTAATAATTATAATCCAAATGCATTGATCTACTACTTTATCTTAGGCACTGTACCTAGCACTTTTTATATATTACTTCATTTAAATTCTAGAGCAATCTATTGATGGTTATTATTCCCATTTCATAGACTTTTAAAAAAACTTAGGGTGGGAAAATTCAAAGTCTGTGTGTGCTTTGATCCTTCTCTTCTGAATATAAATGCAGAATTACATCATTTTTACTGGTATATGAAGGTTCCCTTCCACTTTGCTGTCTTTGTTGATCTAAGGCTCCTGCATACTGAGAGACCATAATCTTTTCTTTGCCTGTGACCACTGATCTCCTCATCAACTATCTCACTCTTAACTCATTCTGGGTCTCACACCAGGGTGTGGCTTTCGCCTTAGCCACTGCCAGCTCTCAACTCTGCTCCTTTTGTTAAACACTTAGCTTTAACTGAGTTGCTCTCATCCTTTTTCCTTATCTTCAGTATGTCTACCAGTTACCGAATCCCCATGAACAAAGTTTTCTAGCTCCATTCATATCTGCTCCAACCATAAGAAACCAATTAGTTTTCCTTTATTGTACCATCTTGGAAAGTTCTCAGCAGTTCTTAGAGGTTTCTCAGTTCTTGTAATAATTCTTAAGAATGATTTTTATTAAAACTTAAACTAAGAAAAGATCTCTTAAGATATATTAAAAATTGGGCAAAAAAGGGAAAATCAGAAATGAATGCAACATGTTACCAAATATGTGAAAAGGGTAGAAAAATGACCAGGTTTTGGTAGTTTTGGGGTGAGACGATGATTTTTACTGGGAAGAGGAGAATTGGGCAGGAGGGAGATTACACTTCATAATTTTTCATCTTTAAATTTTACGAATATATTGCCAATTTAAAAAATAGGCAAGGGGTTTCCCGCCTTAAAAACACACACAGACACATAGCTATTATAATCCAGCATAGACAGTGTATCTAAAAGTGTGTCTTGATTCAGTATAATTGTCTTATGTGTTTTATATGTTTTTTTGCCTATTAGCATGATTGTTAATCTGTATATATGAAAGTAACTTTATAAGGACTTAAAAGATAAATGAATCTGATGGTGCAAAAATATAAGGGGAGGGTGGAGGTAAGGGGAATAAAAAAGAATTGAGCTAAGCTTTGTTTGTTTACCAATTCCCTGCAATGAATGTAATCATTAGGTACTGTACTGTAAACATATACTAATAAAAATTAAAAACAAAAAATGGAAAAAATCCTAAATAACTTTCCTGATACGGATAGAGAACATTTTGCTACAGATAGCATGTAAATAATAATAAAAACAATACATAAGTAAATACTTTCTGCAGCCCTGAAGATTAAACCTGGGGCATTACACATGCTAGGCAAGTGATCTTCCACTGAACTATATGCCCAGCCCTAAATAAATAGTTTTGAGAAGGAACACAAAGATAAAGAACTTGTTCCAGAATGTCCAGGTCAGTGAGTATTTCACATATATCTGCTAATCCAATACCCAGCATTATGGGCAATTTGAGCAATGGTCCTAAAGCAATCCACTGGTGTGAGAAAGTACTGATACAGCTATATGAGTCTCATTTCTTACACTGTACAGATGCAGGGGTCAGGAGTTTTCTCTTTCATACAGCTAGAACTCAATAAATGTTTGGTAATAATAGGGGAAGATTGCCATATGGAATGGCTTCAACACTAAGAGGAACAAGAAGCCATTTCAGTGTGATTTGTTGCATCCCATAAAAAACACAATAGAACCTTTTGGGGCATAGTCAAGTTGATATCAACTCAGTCTGTACTTAATCACATAAAATAGAAGGCAGTCAACTACGCAACTATGCCCTCATTCATTCCTAACCCTAGTCTTGGAGAATGGATAACCCTGTTCAATCCCAGTTCCACATAGCTCTTGACACAAGTGACTTAAGGAAGTTAAGATCAGTTCTCAGGAAATTGAGAATTTTACTAGTTTTAATTTATTATGTTTGAAAACACTTGACTTTATCCGTGTATAGAATAAATCTCTGTCCTTAGTTTTCTTTATCTTAAGATGGCCATGGGTTGACTCCCAACCTGAGATTGCAATGGATTGAATACAACTCCAAGTAGATCCATCTCCCTGGCATCCTGGTACAGGACGATTCACAGCCCACTTCTGAACTCTTGGGGCAGATGGAATTTCCTCCAGATACTATTTTTTTGCTAAGCTTAGGGCAAAGGGGAAAAATCCCTATTTCTCTTATTTGCATATCATAAGTACAATTTATATAAAACCGGAAAAACAAAAGGAAACTTTAGCCTTTTTTATCTTTTCTAAAAATGTATTTAATTGACAGAAGTTGCATATAGTTATCATATACAACATGTGTTGAAATATATACAAATTCTGGAATGACTAGATCAAGCAAAATTAGCATATACAGTGCCTCACAAATCTATTCTTGGAAATTTTCAAGAATATAATACATTATTATTAACTGTAGTTACCATGTTATATATCAGATCTCTTGAATTTATTGCTTTAATTTAACTGAAATTATATATATAACTTGACCAACATCAATAGGAGTTGTTTGGAAGATAGCATTTCAAGTCTTATTTTAGAAATATGGGGGGCTGGAGATGTAGTTCAGTGGAACAGTGCCTGCCTGGCAAGCACAAGGTCCTGAGTTAGTTCGATCCCCCATACCAAAAATAAATAAATAAATAAATAAATAAATATATGGAAGTGACTAAGAACAACAAGAGCAATGGGAATAGGGAGTTGACTTTCAGCTTTCCCTAATCCTAAGAGTTTTAGACAAAGTCTAATGAATTTTGTGAGTCCCAAGTCATTGTAGACTAGAATCACATGGGAACCTAGCAATGGATAGATAGCTGGATTCTCTCACTCTAGGAAACTAGATCTGAGACAGTCATTGAAATCTGATCACAATCTGAATTTTAATGTTTTTTTTTTAAAAAGAAGACTTTAGATATAAAATAATTCTTCTGCATCTATATTAGGTTGCATGCTGATAGTTTATTGGGGAAATGCTGTCAGTAATAATAAGGTAGTAAAGGAGGCAGGATTTGATAAAAGGAGAAACTGAATCATAATTCAGTCACAAGAGAGATTTCAGTTGATTCCCTGAGAGGCTCTAAAACGGGGGCCACTGCAGGAAGTGGGGTATGAGCTTATGTAAGGAGCTCATGTAGGATGAACAAAATTCCTGGAGAGGAGCTCACCTAGAGATCTTTAGAGGGCTACACTCCTGACAGTTGGGTAAGTTCCTTGGTCCTCAAAGGAAATCTGGATAGTTCACAACAGCACCTACTGCACCAAACACCAAAATGGGTATCAAAGGCATCCCAGTTCTTAAAGCAGCATACAGCTAGCCCAGAGAAATTCAACAGCGCCATGCCCTGGATGAATACATTTGGAAAGTTCATGAAACCATAACTGTCTGTGTATGATTACTTCTGACTCTGAAATTGTCAGTTCAGAAAGTGAAAGGAGGTTGATTAAAAGTCCCATCTATCTATTCTAAAACTCTCAGAGACAGGGCCTCTCAGGGCCAATTCAAAAGGAGTATTCTTCCTACAGATTCTTTCATATTTTTTCCATTTTTATGTATTTCATGAGCAGGTGGCCACTACCTGTGGCTGATAATTACAGGCATTATGTATTCTGCACTATGTGAAAGGAACTTGCCTGTGGTCAGAGCTGACAAGGGAGTATGCAGCATATGTTTGACCCTAAAAGAGGAGGAAAATTCTCCTTTTGTTATGATTGTGGGGTTTTCAAGGCTGCTTTCCATGGCAAACGTTTGCCACGTTCAAGGGCCAAGGGCCAATCATACAACCTTTTAAGAGCTCATCAGCACAAGGTCCGTTCGTGGAAAGCCCTGCCTGTGCCACACAATTGGCAGGTAATCACAGCCGTATTATGTGTCCATCTTCTTTTTAGTAGCACATGTCTGCAGCATATAATGTTTACATTCCTTGTGTGGAGTTGGCACATCTACTCAACCCATCTTAATTCCTTTTTTCATCCCCTTCCCCTCCTGTCCCTCCCCCTCCATCCATCCCTTGATCACCTTCCCATTTGAGAAGGATCTATCTATTTCTTATTATCTATTTTTATTTTGCTCTTTATTTGTAATCTGGATTTTTTTATATAAGAGAAACCACATGATATTTAAGCTTGTGAGTCTGATTGATTTCACTTAACATGATGGTCTCAAGGTGCATCCATTTTCCTACCCAGGACTCATCTTTATAAAAAGGCAGAAGTTCTATAGCTTCCACCTCTGAAAATATTTACTATTATACCTTTTAATATTTAATATTAACAATAACAATAAAGAAGATGCTGCCATGGACTTCCTAGAGAAAAAATGGAGGATTTGACCTTTGGTGAAACATTTTCTCTTTGGGAATATAGCAAGGCACCCATTTTGAAAATACCCAAGAAAATTACACAAAGGTTCTGGGGAGGAATGTTGCAAAAACACCATAGGAGCTGCAGTTAAAACAATTGAAAAAAAGGACTGGCCCCAACCTGAGTAATTATGCCCTCACTTCTCACCTTATTCCCAATTTACATCTAAAAATAACTGCCTAGCTGATGTTTATTCAATTATCAAGGGTATTGAACAATATTGCATTACTATTATTAAAACATTTATTTAATATTAATAAGCAGATTTTTTTCAGTTTTTTGTTTTTTGTTTTTTGGGTACCAGGGGATCGAACCCAGGATCTCATGCTTGCGAGGCAGGTGGCAGAACCACTGAGCTAAATCCCCAGCCCTCAAAGTTTTTATTTTTTGTTAGTACCTGTTTGCAGTACATAATGATTACATTCCTTGTGGGGAATTGATACATGTACACAACACCTCTCAATTCCTTTGTATCCCTTCCCTTTCTCTTCCCCCCGCCTCCATCTTTTGATCCCTTTCCTCTATGGGAAAGATCTATCTTCCTACTTCTTATCATCTATCTTTTATTTTGTTCTTTATATTTTGAATTTCTCATGTAAGAGAAACCATGTGATAGTTAAGTAGAAAATTTATTGTAAGATGTTAAAATTGGGTCACAAAGTGATAATTGAAAAAAGTGAAATGAATTTCCACCATGACAACATTGATTTTATTTTTACTTTGTTTGTTTGTTTATCAAACGATAGCTTGAGAACATGCTGGGGGGGGGAAGCACATTTTCAATCATATAAATATTTTGGGATTAAAAACAAAATTATGAACTTACAGAATCAGAAATTACCTTTAAGTTTACTGGGTCATCAATCTTTTACAACTAAAGAAAAAGAGGTTGAATTGCCCAAGGCCCTACATTCAGGACAATGATATAGGCTTCCTAGTTCTCAGCAGTCTTCTTTCAACTAGAAGAAATACAATGGACCCTTGTCTTACCATCTCAATTCATTTCCAAGGGCTGGTTGTAACTGAAGTTGATCAATTGAAGGCTCAGACTCCTCTACACAGCCTTCAAAGTCTCTGTCCTGTACACAGGCAGATCTCAGTGTCCTTAGAGAGACATTGGCCTAGGATTTCTCAATTAACCCCACACAGGAAAGGATGTTGTAATGTTCTTTCCAGAACTCTTTAAGGGTTAAATCTGTATCTGAGATCGTCTGGAAGCACAAGTGGCCAGAATCCAGGACATAACTCAAGACTTTGGTCATAAGTTAAAACTAAAATTCTGGTCAAAACCCAAGTTGTTCATATGCCAGGCTGGTTGTAACTTGAGGCCCACTCTATGGTCTGTTTAATAATATTATGTGTATGTTACTGAAAATTTTTTATTGGATAAAAGAAAAGGAATGCCTCAATACTTTTGACTAAAGTAGTTTTGGCTTTCTTTCTGGATTGAACACAGGGTTTCATATACTGAACTATATCTCGCTTCTTCCTTCCTTTCTTTCCTCCATGCCTTCTCTCTCTCTTGCTCTCTCTCTCTCCATCTCTTTCTGAGAGAAAGGTCTTATAAATTTGCTAAAGCTGGATTGGAACTTGCAATCCTCCTGCCTCAGCCTCATAGAGTACTGGGATTATAGCTGTGTAGCACCATGACCAGTTTGGGATTATTTCTTATATTCTAGAGAAAACAAGATTTGAGACGTTGTAAACCCCAACTTGTTTTGATCCTTAGGCACAACTCATGGCTTAACCTTGACTTTAATGAAGATTGTTGACATGTGATCACATAGGCTTGGAGTTTCAGCATTTCTGGCATTCACCTTCCTGTGCTCAGGATTCTTGGAGACCTTAGTGGATTGTTATGACAATAGCACCTGATGAGACTTCTGAAACTCCTAATAGATACCAATATATTTATAGACTTTAGTGTCTCATTTTGTTCAAAGTCCTACATAGTGGCAGATAGTCACAACTGATGACTTGGGTACATTCTTCCGACAAGAAACTACCATACCACTGTTACTATATTCTGCTATGCTTAACCCTACAGGTCTGGCTCTACATACTCCAATGCCCTAAAATAGTAGAAAAGAAAACTAGAAAGGTTAGCATGCAAGTGCCTTGTATGAAAAAGAGCCCATCTTTTTTAGTTTTATTTATTTATTTATTTAGTTAGTTAGTTAGTTTTATTTATTTTTGAGGCAGGGTCTCACTGTGTTGACCAGGCTGGTCTTACATTTTGGGAGTCAAATGACTTTCCCACCTCAGCCTCCCAAGTAGCTGGGGCTACAGAATTGTGCCTCTTTGCACCCCTCTTTAAAGTATAACCTTGCAAGTGCTATAGAGACCTTTAAGACACCAACCTTAAGAATACATTTATTTTATTTTATAGGGCTTTTCTATAAATGCTAAATTCCCAGTTCTCCACATGTCTTGCAAAACCCAGTTTGGGAGGTAGAGGTGGCCATGGGACCAAGCATCTCCTGCAGAATGACAAGAAATCTACTCCAGCTAGCCCACCTGCTCTGCAACTCGGGATGCTGATCCATGCTGATTTGTAAAAATTTATTTACTTTTAAAAATGAGATTGTTGCGTATTTGAGTTGTCGGGGTAAGTTTTTGCACACCTACCAGCTGGTGGCTAGAGCAATACCAGTGGAGTTCATATTAAGCCCACAAATATTGCCTTAATGCCCATCTATCTTCTGATGGGCTTTACAAATTCTCTTTCTCTCCTTTCCCTTCTTGCTTGTTTCAGGATTTCTACCAAAAGAAAAAGGAATCTCTGCAAGAGCTTTATGACTTGTGGGTATGAACTACATTCTAGGATCTTTCAGCCATACCTGACTGGCATGGAGTTGAGATCTTAAACTTGCAATAGTTTGCCGTGGCTGCTGTCACAAGAACCACTAATGGGGTGGCTAAAAACAAGAAACGTATTGTTTCACAGTTCTGGGGAGTAGGGTGGCTAAAGGTCCAAAATCAAGGTTCCTTAGCGTTAGTTCTTCTGAAAGCTGTGTGAGAGAAATTATTCCTTACCTCTCTCCTAGCTTCTGGTAGTTTGCTGGCAATTTTTGTCGTTGTCCTCTACATAAATGATCTCAATTTCTGCCTAACTCTTCACATGGCCTTCTCCCTGTGTGTACCTATCTCTATGTCCAAATTCTCTTTTTTATAATGACATAGTCATATTGGATTAGGCCCACTTCAGTTACTTCATTTGAACTTGATCATATGCAAAGACCCTATTACAGATAAGGTTACATTCACACGCACTGGGAGCTAGAATTTAACATCTTTGTCGGGGCACATAATTCAAGCCATGACAGAGCTTCTAACGTGGGTTAAACAAAACAAAACAAACAAAACTGAGGCTGGGGATTTAGCTCAGTGGTGCCACACCAGCCTGGCAAGTGCAAGGTCCTGAGTTTGGTCCCCAGTTCTACAAAACAAACAAACAAACAAACAAAAAAGGATATAAAAATAAAACCTAATAAAGGTCATTGGATTGGGCAGGTAAAACTTTAGTCTCTCTCCTTTCTTACCCTGCCAGGTGCTTACTCATTCTCTTGCCCTGTCCTGCTATCCTACGGATGAGCTTTCCCAAAGGAAGCCCCATGTTGGTTTAAATGCAAGGAAGCTTACTTATGTCTTCTAAGCCCTTGGACCTATTGCCCAGTTTCTAGACCTGGGCTCTGAGTCCTCTAATACCCAGCATCTACCTGGACTTCTGATTCCCAGTGGTATAGATGAATTATCTGTGCCCCTCGTCTATTACACCTACATTTATACATGAAGCAGTATAATGTAACACTAAAACCGTAGGTTCTGCAGCCAGACTCTTTGCTCTGAAAATTCCTGGACATGTGGTCTTATACAATTCACTTGTTTGTCCTATTTCCTCCTCTGTAAACCCATTGCCTCAAAGAGTTGTTGAGATGATAAAAACTCACATTAAGCAGTTAGAACAGTACCTGGAACATAGTATGCACTCACTAAAGTTAGGTGGCATTAGCACCAGATTTTCCCTGGCCTAATGAGTTAATACTGTTTCTTGGAGAGATAGGTAGTGTAAGGTTGACAAGGTAGATGAGCAGTGAAGGAAACAAGCTCTGGTGGGATCACATCTACAGTGGGGATGAAACAAAGCCTGGTCTCAGCAGTGGAGAAGTAGAGGAGAGGGCAGCGGGGATTACAGACCATGTGGACAGTGGATTCCTGGAAGTAGCCAAGGAAAGAATTTGGGGAAGTTATTAGGACTGCTTATCTGCTTTCTCACTGAGAGCAGAATGACCTCAGTGTATAAGCAAGCTTGAGCCTCGGCAGGCACACAAGGAGGTAGACCAATAGTACAAGGGTGTGTGTTTGTGTGTATGTGTGTGTGTTCAAAAGTCACCAGGAAGTTCTTTGCCCTATTGCTCTGTTACTTAAAGTACTGTCCTATTTCCTCTATTTGCAGTTTAAGAAGACTTTGGGAACTGTCTTCACCCTTTGAGCTTTCCCTCCACTCCAAGAGTGAAGCCCATGACTTTCATCCACAGCAACTGCCACCCTGAACTGCTGCTGCCAGCAGAGGTATTCTTGTTTGCAAAATTCTGTTTGGTTGTCACTGTTTGGCTATTACCCCACTGCAAAGGAATAACTCAACAAATGAGTTTAAACTATTCACTTTTCAAATATTAGGTTAAGGCTATCTGAAGTTTGATCAAGATATGGTGGATAAGAAATCCTGCCCCTCCTAAAAATTTAGGTTATGATTCAAGTGCTCTTTTAAGAAGCATTTCAGAATGTTGACTGTATGCATTATCCCAGTGCCCAGCAACCATGGCATAGCTACATTTAATCAGTCTTTTGTGATGAGAGATGCATGTAGGTAAAGGCATTTGGTCATTAAAAATAGCACCAACCTTCCCCTGACCCTGCCATTCCCTTCAGGTACCACCCTAACTAATGCTGTCCTTCTACTCCCCAAATTGTCAAGAAGCTAGTCCATACTTGCTGTTCTTACTGCCTTACTATCCACAATCCCATTCAACTGTATAAACCTTAACTCTGCGTCATCCTCACCCAACTAAAATTGCTCTTCAGAGGTTATCATTACCTATCACATCACAAATCCGGTGGCTGCCTAACAATCTTTAATCTTCCTGACTTCTCTGTAACATCAGATGTCTGTAAAACTTCTCTCTGCTCAAGGCTTCAATGGCCCCCACCCACCATGGGCTTCGTGTACTATGACAGCTCCTCTTCTAGATCCTTTTTGGCTGTTCGTCCTCTTTCCCCCTACATGAAGGTATGTCCACATGTTCTCCCATTTTCTACCTTCTTACCAAGTTACCTGGCTTATTGGATATAGAGGAGCCCCCAGACAGGGAGCTGGTGGAAATACAGAATATCCAAGGCCAGAAATATTTAGCCATTCATCTTTGTGTAATTTCCTATCAGGAAATGAGAGCAGGCATTGGCCCAAGCACCAAAGCAGAAGAAACCAACATAGCAATGCAACACTGGGATGCTATGCTGCATGCAGTTTAGGGCAGAGGATGGGCACCAAGGTTCTTGCTCATGGGATAAAAGAGGAGATCAAAATAGTCGGTAAACCAGTGTGCTTGAAGATTATTTCTGATGGTTGCACATAGTACCTTTAACAAAATCCCTCAATCTCTAGGCAAGGGGTAAATTTCCCTCTTGTACTTTTCCATCAAGTTCCTTATCACACTGAATATAGTATATTGTATACTTACTAGACCATATCCACCTCTAGAGTATAAGATTCAGAGAACAATGATACTTTATATCTTTTTTTATCATCATATTTCCAACATGTACCCCAATGCTTGTCCCCTAGAAGGTGCTAAATAAATATTCATTGAAAAAGTAAATCAACGGGATTTTAAAATTTGAAAATCAAGTAAGTGAAAAGGATGGGAAAGAAATCATACATAAGCTAAGATAAAATTTGTACAAACTTTATACCATATCATCATGTAGTATTGTTAGAGATGGACTGCAGTTTTTATTCTGAAATGCCTACCAGTCAAAGCAAAGAAAAAAACCAATGACAAAATTTATGTCTGTAGGAATTAAGAAAAATAAGTGCTCAGATGAAGCACAGCTATCATCATATTATTGACTTCAATGTCTCTGTGGATCCTCACAAAGAGTTACTGGATGGGACACAATATCTACCAAGCTACCCTTATAACTAGATACAATAGTAAATGCTATAGAACTTATTTTTGATGATGTCCACCTGGAAAATATGAGGCATAAGGTTGACTGTTGCATCCACTACAAATGTGTGTTTGAGCACTGTTGCTTGAAATTTTTGTTTTCATACCTTCAAATTCTAAGAAAAGTTGGGGCTTGAGGGTATAGCTCAGTGGTAGAGCACTTGCCTAGCGTGCATGAACCCCTGGGTTCAACCTCGAGCACCACAAAAAAATAGAAATAAAATAAATTTTAAAATCTAAGAAAAGACAATGATTGAATTAAAGATTGGAAAATATCAGGCTTTTGGCTTGAGAGTCTTTTTTTTTTAATGACTTATTATGTAATGTCAAAGTAATACTCATAAAGGAATTGATGTGTAATCAGATAATTTGATAAAGGTAAATTATAAAGTGAAATATCATCTTCCATTCTAGCCTCAAAGATTTGTGTTTCTAGGAGATGTAATCATCTCTGACTTTAATAAAATTGTGCATCAGAAATCACCTGTATACACAAATTTTTTGACAAAACTAATAATAAAAATATTTACCATAAAGTAATTCTATGTCAAGGAGACCAAAGTAATGTAACCAACTCCTTAGAATTCTGAACACATGGCTTGTTCCAAATATAAAATTTAGAATATCTAGAACAAGGTTCATCCTAAGACATATGAGTATGCCATATATTACGATCTAAAGCAGAGTTTTGTGGTCAAGAACATTTGAGAAATATCACATCCTTAGAATCTTCTGTTTTGGAATTTTTATATTTACATTAACACATACTAAATGTTTTAAGAAGTCCTTCAGTAAAGAAACTATCCCTTATCAAATAATACCTGTTTACATTTCAAGGAATTGTATAGAGATGGTTGGTCCCCCAAAGATTCATGTACTAGAAGCTTGGCACCTAGTATGGTGGTATTGAGGTGATAGATGCTAAGAGATGAATGAGGTAGAAGGAGATTAGGTCATAGGAGCTCCACCCTCATGAATGGATTAATCCTGTCTTTCAGGAGTAGGTCAACTCTTGTGGGACTGGATTATTTCCTGCAAGAGTGGGTTATTTTGAAAGAGTGTGCCTGGTCCCTCCCCAGTCTCTTGCTTTCTCTCTTCTGCCCATGCTCCTACCACTCTTGCATGTACTCCTGACGTGTGATAATATCCACCATGAGGCCCTCACCAGAAGCTGGTGCTGATACCACGCTCCTAGACCTCACTATTGTGAGCCAAATAAACCTCTTTTCTTTATACATACCCAGTGTTAAACATTCTGTTATAGCAACACCAGATGGACTAAAATAGTGCATACTGGCCCCTCTGGATGTGGTCAGAAATACTATTGTTACTGTTATTGAAATATGGTATATGCTATTGTTATTGAAAGTAACAATTGATTATCTTAACCAATGACTATTCTTTGTAGGTTAATGTGTCATTAATTCAAGCTGCTTGGTTTTCTCCACTAAAACTGAAGATTTAAATCACTAGATAATAAAAAATCATACTATGAATTGCCCCTCCTATCTGGGCAAGCATATGAAAATATAATTTCCATGATAAAGGGAAGGAGAAATGAAGTTTATGTCCTGGATATTCCTATTACTAATCATTGGAAGGCTTTCCCCTGTAGTATGTCAGAAAACAATCACCCAAATGAGGAACTAGAGACACACACAGTTTAAATAATCTGAATGAAATTGGAGAAAGCCCTTATGAAAGAAGATAAATCTGCAACTTTTATTTCTCTTTTTTGTTAATAATCTTCACGAAATCTCTAAAATACTTTTCGGTCTTACTACGCCTTATAGAATCAACAAAGATAAAGCAGCATATAAAAATGTCAGATAAATCAGCTAAAACATTTTACTTTCATTTTGGAGTTCATTATATTTTTGGCAGCAAATTTATCTTGCTAATGATGTTTTACTAATGTTGAAATTAATTTTAATTGATATTTCCTGTGAATGCACTGAGTAGGAAGCAGAAATGCCTGCCTGAGGTTAAAAATTGACTTTGGGTAATCCAAAATTCAGACTCACCCCTGAATGGTCTCATGTATACCTAATATTTCACCTACCCCTGATGTGCTAATGTCCAAATGAACATCTCACCTCCAACCCATCTCTGGAGACATGGAGTGCCAAGCAACTTCACCTATATGTTGATGTGTGCAGTGTGAACTCATTATCTTTCTAGCCATTTTTTACCTCTGTTCCCCTCTCTCCATGATCTCAACCTCAATGATTGGATCCATCTCCTAGCTAACTCCCCACACCAAAATCTGGGAGCTATTCTAGACTCCTCATTCTCACTTTCTACCTCTCTTGGGACTAAAATCCAAATTCTTTGGAATGATATTGAAAGACATTCACAGTCTATCTCAGGGTTTCCCAATGAAGGCCTTATGGGCAATGGGGGCAGAATTTTGTTCTGTGCAGGAATATCCTCATTTCTAATCCCACCCACAAAATGCCACTAATGGTCTCTCATCACCATGACAACCAGGAAATGAAAAATGATCTTTGAAGATGCTAAGACCAGCTCACAATTGATATACAAGGAGTGGAGCCTATAGCAAGAGTAGCCCAACTATAAACCAATGATCTATGATGTGTCCTCAGCTTTCAAAGAAAAACTAGGCCCAGCAGATTCTCTCATTTTGGTAAGAAACACTAATGGAATGAGCTATTAAGAATTGTTAGTGTTGAAGGGTCAAGGAGTGGAGGAAAAGATACTGATTCAGACTCTACATGGGCCATGAGAGGTGGAGAGGCCAGTAGTCACACAGATAGCACGTGGTCTGGACTCCTCTCCACTATTTTCCCACCAGTCCCCAGTAATATCGATAGCAGTCCTGAGTACTGCAAGGAGAAGAATAGAGAGAAAGCAGGGTACCGGGAGAATTAAACAGCAGAATAACACCCATGGGTGCAGTACTCATTTCTGATCTGCCTCTGAAGAGACTCCCAAGACCAAATATACAGCTTTTTTCTTAAATTATAATGACCCACAGAAGAACAGACTGAAGAAGAAAGTTATTTCCTAGCTCTACCCCCTCTGATTACAATCCCCGTAGCTTTAAGCACAAGTTTTTGAGTACTTTTTCTTATCTATATAGTGGAGCTTTGTCTTCGTCAGCTTTCCATAACAAGTACCTGAGATTAGATACAGAGAAAAGGTTTATTTGGGCTCACAGTTTTGGAAGTTCCAGCTGTGATGGACTGCCATGTTGCTTTTGGGTGTATGGTGAGGCAGTACATCATGTCAGGGAGCATGTGGTGGAGCAAAACTACTCACCTCACGGCCAGGATATGAAAAAGAAGATGAAATGGGCAGCTGGGGTCCTACTATCTCCTT